TTCCCGGTCATGATATGATCTCGTGGGAAATTATAATGAAGGTAGACATGAACAACAAATAGTAAGGCAGGGTATTACTATCTAAAATTTTTCAAATCAAGTAAAAAAAATATATATTTTTATCATTTTATTTGTATGAACTTTGTAGTACACTTTTAAAAACATTGACTAACCATTAAAAATAGTAATAATCTATTTTTTCATGGCCTATCATCTTCTAAATACAATGTTATATGTTGTTTGTCACCTTAAAAGAGATATTTATTTAAATTTTATTTTTGATAAATTATTATTAAAACTTATCATAAATTTTTGAAAACTACAACGTTGATTTATTTTTTTAATAGATTATGTAAGGCTAATCAAGAAAAAACATAATATTTAAAAAAATTCTATAATCTGTAATCTATGTATGCAAAAAATTGTCATGTTAAAAAAATAAGACTTATAATTAATATAAAATGTTTATTGATAGATTTAAAAAAAATGTATCTGATAGTCGGCTAACAATGTACAGATAATAAATTCGTGCTATTATTACTTCAGAAAAAATTTTAGTAATCATGTAAGCAATTTTCTAAATGTTAAAAAATACTACTATGCCATTTAGTATAGATAAAAAGTTAACAAATAGATTTTAAATATTTTGAAGATTCATATTTAAAGAACAAGGCACTATCTTTGAGATCAGTGCTTTTTATAATTAATTTTAAGAACAAATATATTAGATATAACCTTATAACAATATAACTACAAGATTAATAAGATTTTTAGTGAAGATACGTAGTGATGACTAAAAAATAGAAAATACTCAATGTTCACTTTAATTTATCAAGTTTTTCGAGTGCTTAATGTTGAGTAAACAAATAAAAACAATAAAATTTTATTAATATAGATCATATTAACCAGCAAAAAACATGTGATGAAATTTATTAAGATACATTAGATAATTTAAGTAATAATCAAATAAAGGCAGTAAATAGTAAATTTATGTAAGAAATTTATGTAAGAAATCTATGTAAGTATAGGGAATTCAATTATAAGAAAATAAATGATCACTATTCATTCCTTCTTTTAAAAATAAGATCAATTGGATATGGAGTCATTTCATTCTCGAGTTTTAATTCATTTTTATGAATGCTATTTTGTGGCAATGATATTTCATATTTACGCATTACAAAATGTATTATGCATGTAAGTATTTACATAAAAAAAAAAAAGAAAGAATTCATTTAATTTCATTTAATTAAAATTAAACACATACACAACAAACACAGCACAATTCTCTGTTCAATAAGAGAAAGTTTGTTTCCTAGGCACCTATTTTAAAAAATTTAAATTCGGTCATTATCGCTAAAGTAAAAAATTAAGACAAAATTATAAAGTTCAACCAACATTCTAGATCTACCACCAAAAGCTAACCAAGAATTATTATCGTATTCATTTTCAAACCTTTCAGGCAAAAACTCTTCAGGATTCTTCAAAGTTTTGGAGAATGTTGTATCCCACATATGAAGGGCATAATGGATGTACCAGCTGGAATCAAAAAATTCTTATTTTTTAAGTCTTCGATTGATGCACGAAATGTAAATCTTCCGAACTATTTATTAAACAGTCGAAATAAAATTATAAGTGATATAATTACTTATTTTTAAATATTAAAATTGTACTGACTGGAGGCTATAATCTAAGATTTTCACGAATAACCATATTCAAATAATTTAATGACGCATGCTGTTCTGCTTATGGAGTTATATTACAACAAGTATTCTTAAGATCTCTTCTCGAACTTTATCTTGAACATTCTAGATAATGAAATTATGAATCTTAACAGCTTAATAAATATTATAATTATATCCTACTGTACTTTATGGATTGCTAAAAGATATAAAGGAGTCGATAGAGTCATTGCAGCTAAATTTATAAAAATTCATTATACAGTACAGTATGGGTAAAAAAAATATAAACAGTTTCTCAAATTAACGTAATGCTTACTTGAGTCATGACCCACAACCATAAAAACAGCCAAATTATGCTATTAAAATCAAATCAACATAATTAAAATTTTATTATTCAAATTATAGCAATAGAAATCCAAACATGTATGTCTTACTCTTAACTCAGTATCCAATAACATTTATCAGAAATATTTGGATCATCACAAGCCTTTAACATCAGTTCCAAAAGATCACCATTAGAATGTCCAGTATCAAATAAATTACTTAACTTACCAATTTTTCTAAAAGCTAATCGTTTTAAGATTGGAATGCGATCAATTGGGAGAATATTATTATAAAATGAACTTTTAAACATATTATGAGCGTCATTATAAGCTGTTACATAGGCATTATTCAGATATTCGAGATTCTTAATTGAAAAATTTGTTAAATTATAAATTATCTAATATTTACTAATATTTGCTAATATTTACTAATATTTGCTAATTATTTTATTTTATTATATTAAAATCAAAATCAAAGGCAACTTTTCCAAGAACGTCTAAAGTAAACCTACAATATTTAAAAATTATAAATTTTAATGAGATAATATAAAAGATTGCAAAGTATGTTTAATAAATTTTTATTACCTTTGCATAAGATCTTTAACGTCAATAGACTTATTATTGACTTTTCCAAAACATCCATCAACTTTAATCCCTTTTCAACAAAAAGGTGTACAGGTAAAGTTTTAAAAGCAGGATTACAGATACGTCTAAATAAATTTACATCAGAATATATAAAATACGTAGCAATATTATAATAAAATAAATAGAGATATAAAAAACCTGTGTCGCTTCCAAACCTGATAACAAAAAAAAAAAAATGTAATAAAAAAAAGTTTTGACGCAAAGAACATTTAAAACAATAAAATGGTAAATAAGACTTACATCACCATTTGAACGAACAACATCAATACCAATTGGTATAATCTCATTGAGCATTATCTTAGGAAAAATATCTTTGAAATAATTTAAAGCAATTCATATTGCTAAATAGAATTTGAATTTTAAAGAGAGATATCGAATGATTAATGAATGACCTACCAGTTCGTAAACATATTTCCTTAGCAATTGTTGGATCAGTTATCATGCAAATCCATTTTCCTCTAAAATTAAACAGCAAACATAAAATATTAATTCATTGGCAATATGATTCACTGACGATTAATTTGCAGTATGATTTACTGCTGGTATGTTTCATAGACAAGTTTTTTTATAATCCTAACTCTAATTCAAAATTTGACCCTAATGACAATGGCCAGAATTACTTGGCAAAATAAACTTAATTGCACTTCATTTTAGTGAGTCTTTTGATAACAACTTTTGAATATTTTGGATTTTAAAAATTTTTTCAAATTATTACTGTATTAGGGGATTTCAGAATTAACTTATTTTGAAAATATTTTTGGGTTTCTAACTTTCAAAGTCAGAAAATAAAATAGAAAATCTGAAATTCCTATTGTTATTGAATTTCTTTGGTGCACATAAAACGTAATAATTTTGATTGGCAATGAAGCTAGCGAAATTAGAATGGATGATATGCCAACATTGAACTGATAAAAAGAAAAATGACATTATTGGAACGTCAACTATAGCTTAGAAAGGAAATGGCAGAAGTAGAAGCTCTCAAATTAAAAATCAACAACTAAAAATCAATCTGAATTTATTTTAGATTTAATATAAGCATATAGTTGTTTGATAACAATCGGATATAAGTGTACGTACTGTCGCATAGTTTCCGAAGAACCCTTATACCTA